TCTTAACAAATAAAGTTAAAAAGAATGAAATTTTACACAGCTGCATTATTAGTTATTAAATTATTGAAAAAATCGTTGCCTACTTCTATTAATATAATTATATTTGGCTGTATTATTTGAAAATAGCAGGGTTATTCTTATATCGTATAGAAAATAGAAATTGTATAATAAGACAGATTATACCACAGAATACAATTAGTCATTTGACACTTCAGATGAGAAATAGATGGAAGAGGTGAACAAAAGTGGACGAGTTTGTGAACGATCTCAGCTTTCGATGGCTCTTTTTCCATGGGGAGAACTTTCAAGGACAAAGGCTTTGCCGAACCTAATCGTCGTGAAAGTAAACTTCTACTCTCCAGTACCATTAAGGAGGAATTTAAATTTTCTTTACGATTTTCCAGTTTGTAGAGGACGTATATGGTCTGAAGTTTTTTGTGCCTCCTCACCTTATTTGGCTAAGAAAAAATGTCACCAAAATCAGCAAAATTAATCGGAAGACTCCGCTTCGTCTTTTTTTCCATAACTCTGCTAAACTTATCATTTGAAAGAATACGTTATACCTCATTCTGTAGTCCCTTCAATTCTGCATCTTTCTACATACCAGCTATGCTAAATCGCTGTCTGTAGAAGAAACTACAAACATTTTTATGTGCTATAGGACAAAAATTGAGTCTGCCGTAGGGATTTTTCAGCTATTGATTTTCCTTCTGATTTGATTTCTACTAACATCTGAAGCATAACAGATCTATACTCAGCAAAAATATTCACTTTCCAATTTGGAAAACCGCGTGTTCGCCTCCTTCGTGGAAAAATCTGTGCAGTATAGGTTCAGTTCACATAGCAGTGACATCAGTTTCTAAATGAAAACCAAGGAACACTTGAGGCACCTCTTTGGTGAATGAATGTAGACCATTTTCCAGCTTACCGATTCCTTTGTATTTATTTACACTAAGTGACTACAATGACTACAACGACAACGACGCCCGTTTGTGTTTCTTTTACGCAACCACCACCGCATTCTATATGCAAAAATCCAAAATGGAGTCAAAACGGAATTAGAGTGGCCGGAAATGTCATTGCTGGATCAACTAGTTCTCAACTTAATCATCCACGAGGAATATTCATTGATCGGCATGATGATCTCTATATAGCAGATTCGTGGAATAGTCGAGTACAAAGGTTTGTACAAAATTCATTACTGGGCGCTACAGTTGCCGGAGGGAACGGAGAAGGTAATGGTGTCACTCAGCTCAGTTCTCCACAAGATGTCTTTGTCGATTCAGTTGGTAATTTATTCATTGCTGATTACGGCAGTTATCGTATACAAAAATGGACTATGAATAGTGGACAGGGTACAACCGTTGCTGGTAATGGAACTGATCAATCTTGCAGACCTCGAGGAGTTTTTGTTGATAAGAAAGATATTTACGTATCAGATCATACGACCGGATACCTAATGAAATATTCGTCGCTCGATTCAAACTTTGGAACGGTCATTGCTAAAGATATATCCTCATCGGCAGGTATGTTTGTCGATCAATGTGATACGGTTTATGTAGCAGACAGTGGCCGTCACAGTATAGAAAAATTTATGAAAAATAGTTCCAGAGGAATAACTGTAGCTGGTATTAAATATGTACGTGGTTCCGCTTCAAATCAACTAAGTGGTCCCAACGATGTTACAAGTGATCAATATGGAAACTTGTACATTGCTGATACAGGCAATCATCGTATTCAACGAGTGAGTGCCAAGGACGGTAGGATGAAAACAATCGTTGGAATAACAGGAGAAAAAGGAACTGATGCTAAACATCTAGATGAGCCAGTTAGCGTTGCTTTAGATTCAGAATGGAATTTATATGTTAGTGATTACGTAAATTCTCGTATTCAAAAATTTTCATTTGAAAGTGGCGATCTTTACTGTTAAATAAATAGAATGTGAAGCATCGGTTTAAGAGTTGAAAACGAACCATACTCTCACTCTTCTTGATATTCATTCCAAGTTAATGTTCTTCATGTTAAATATTTGATTGTAATGAAGATCACATTGAGTGAGAGTACTGTCCACTTTCAATGGTTCGACCAGTGCTGCAACTCCTTGCGCAAATATCCGGTTCTTGTCAAGATTAAGATAAGTGAGAGCCTTGTTAACTTTCGGCTGTTTTGCGAGGACATCAGTGGCTCGTTCGATAGCGTTGTAAAGCATTATAAATGTAGCTGTCTTTCATAGATAGTGTAAATTACGACTGTAAAAGTTCCCGTAGCGTTGTAACGCTAACTGAAAACACAGTTACCATTAAAACAACGGTAATTGTCTTTTCAATTACCGTTGAAATAACGGTCAGTTGGTTAACTTTGTGGTAACTAGCTTTTAAGTATGGCAGAAATATCCAGGCAACGGCTTAAAGTGGCTTCCCAAATCGTTAGTTTTCCACTAAAACTGTTGAAACTTTCGTAAATGACATGATTTTGCTTGGCACACACGTGCCAGTCGATTAAACTAATCGAAATTATATAACTTCAATATTTTGTAGAAATCTATTTGTTTTCATCAACGAAATTAGACTACAAAGCCATGTCATGAATGAAAGGTTCAACAGTTTTAGTAGAAAACTAACGATTTTAGAAGCCATTTTAAGCCGCTGCTTGGATATTTCTGCCATACTTAAAAACTAGTTACCACAAAGTTAACGCTCTGGCCAGCCATCTCTACTACCGGAGTGAAATTCCGTAACGATTTGTTTGCATTTTGTTTTTCTTATAGTGTTTGAGTAACGAGACGCCTAGAGATCTAGAATATCACAGATTAAAGAGAAAAGTGTGCTAAAGATTCTGAGATGTTCCTACAGTCTACACATTCTTTCATTCAGAAACTATGTGAAAAATACAAACACCTACTTTCCAAAACTTAACCGAAAAAGTAGGTGTTTGTAT